CTTTAGGACCCTTAGGCAGTTGCTCAAAATCTTCTCATGCACCCTGAGATTTACTCTAAAATGAGATCAGAGGGAAAATTTCAAAGAAATTCTTTGTTATCTTGGTTTGTTTAATATGAAAAGAGCTATTTTTAAAAATATTTTAATGGAGTTCCCCCCTTTAAAGTTTTATATTTTATTCTAGAAAATATATACAGCAATATGCAAGCTTTTATGCTTAAAAAACTTTTAAATCTTGACACCTACATGTACTACTATATGATGAGATGGACATAAGTTCTGGAGAACTTTTTAATGAATTAGTGCAAGAATTTGCTACTCTGAGACAAGAAAAGGCCATTCAGACTTGTCGCTAAAGTCACTGGGACACTTAAAGCATTTTAAACTCAGTACTCTATGGAAAGATATACAAAGAGTTTTTTAAAAATCACTAATCATTATCCTATAAATTATATTTCATAGAGCAATAAATCATATCCAACATAAGATTAAAAAAATCCTATTCCACTGAGATTTGAAAATGTCCTAGAAATGAGTGATTCTGAAACATTAGCAATATTAGCAAAACTATTAACAAAGACTTTTAGAAGTATAATTATGCCTAGAGACAAGACAAACTTTTAAGTTTCCTTCTTACACTAATTTTTAAAAATCAAAAGTATACAATGCTTCAAAAAATAGTTACCACTAAGAATTTCCTTTATCTGCATATGACCTTTGTAGATAATAACTGATCAAGTATGACAGGAGGAATTTTCTTGATCAGTACAATCAACCAAGAGTCAACATCAGCATGGCTTTTTGTACCCTTCCTTTTCTACTGTATCTGTGAAGTCTCTCCCTGTAAAACATAGCACTTCAGTAAAGCCAGTCACCCTATAAATCTGAGCATGCAATTGTCCAAAGGCATTTGACTATGAGGAATTCTCTACTACTTAACCACACCTGCTTTAGGTTGTAAACCATATGGAGTGTATCAAACTCACACCAGCTAATCTTCGGTAACTTCAGGAAGCAATTCTGAATTTTTAATGTAGGCTGCAATGCACATGTTATACACCAAGGTTTTCTTAGTAATTCCTATTTCTACATCAGGACAGGGCAATTAAAATTAGCTTCTGTAGATTGTTTGTAAACTGAATCCCAGTTGTTTTTTTCCTACAGAAGTGTAAGATTTGCAAATTTTAGTGAATAACAGCCTTCATTTGGTATAGCAGAAGGTTTATATTAAAGTAAGTGCTTTTCTCTACTACAACAGCTATAAACAGAATTCATTTTGTAACAAGCAGTAGTTCCTTAAAAATTACTGGGTCAGTGACTGTGGTGGCACACAGATGTAATACTAGCTCTCAGGAGGCTGAGGCAGGAAGATCAACCTGAGTTCAAGGCCAGCCTGAAATATAAAGTGAGACCCAGTCACACAAAAAGCTACTGGGTTACCAGGGCTGAGGATATAGCTCATTGGCAGAGGGCATGCCTGGCATGTATAAGGTCCCTAGGGCTTATTTAGATGAAGGGAAAGGGAAGGAGGAGGTGGTGGGAAGAGGAGATTTAAGAAGATTATTCAAGAAGGTCATAACACTTTAGATCACTTTTCCTGATAGAACACTGTTTTAATTTAATAAGACTCTAAGAAAACTAATGATGTGACACTCCTTGAAAAATGTGTGTTAATTTTCAGATAATGAAATACAAAAAATATAAATGAACATTGGTGTTACTAAGTTTCCGGGAAACAGAAAAAGGTTCCTATACTCTTCCTTTTCTCTAATCATTTAATAAGCCAAGTTAACCTTTACCTCGCTGTCTTAAAAAAGTCCAATGGGGGGGATTTAGCTCAGCAGTTTGGTGGCCTGCCTTGCAAACGCAAAGACCCGAGTTCAATCCCCAGTACCAAAAAAAAAAAAAAAAA